CAATGGAAGGCTTGGACAAAACATATTTTGTGTTACTTTCCAATGCAGATATTTGATGAATATTTAATAATAGAATATGTTTATAAAGTTACCAGATTAAAAAATAATAACGAGTTAAAAGACAATGAACAGATAATGAAAAAGGGGTCTAGATGACTATGTTAAGAGCATGAGTGAAACTAAGTGAGAAAAAACTTAAGAAAGAAAACAAAGAAGTAAAGAACCTGTCAAGATGTACCTTCCTCATCTTACCAGGTTGCTACCTTAGTTTGGAAAAGAAATCAGTAACAACAATAGAATCAATAAGAAAGATTGCAGACATCCAATACCGTATTTCCTTAAACATCCAAATATATTTTCAAAACTCACATATTCCCCTGATGCCTCATAGAAGCCGGCTGCCCAGGGAGGCTCAGACTGAGGAGACGAGTGTGACAGCGTCATCTCTTCTAATGCTTCACTTTTCCTAATTTCTCCTTTCTGTTTTAGTGGTAAATTTATATTCATTGCTGTATTAGAGGTATTAAAAAGCAGAGACAATTAGAACAATGGAACTGTGAAATAATGCTTCTAAAACACTGTAGAAGAATTTTCTATCCATCCTAAAGAAAATTACAATAGCAGCCCCATATTCATGGTTTCACTTCCTGCATTGCCATAGTTACCTATGGTCGACTACAAGTGAACAATACTAAATGGAAAATTCTAGTAGTAAACAATTCAGAAGTTTTAAATCATGCCACGTTGGGAATAGTGTGATAAAATCTCACAGTGTCCATCCTGCCTGGGACTTTAATCATCCCTTTGTCCAGCTTATCTAAGTCACTTAGTCACTTGGAGCCATCGTCTTTATCATAATGACCATCACTGTATCATATGCCTGTGATCAAGTGACCCTGATTTTAATTACTCATGGCCCTAAAGTATACAAACAGTGATGCTGATTTTGTATAATTATTCTATTTTATTATCTGTTATGAAGATAAATTATTAAGCTTTATCATAGGTATATACAAATAGGGAAAAAAATAGTACATACAGTAGTTGTTACTAACTGTGGTTCAGGCATCCCCTGGGAATCTGGAAACACATTCCTAGAGGGATGGAGGGACCACTATACTTCAAGTTCTGCTACTCAGGATCAACTTCAAAATCTAGTTGATCACTAACAAGCTGTCTAACCTCAAGCAAATTCCTTACCTCACATATGAATCAGCTTGTTTATATCCAGCTTGTTTTTATAATTCATTTATTATTTGGATATTTAAATTAATGTTTTAGTGTTTTGGTGCAATGTCTGAAATATGTTAAATATTATACAAATATGCTACTAGATAATTATTGCTTTTATTTTCATTATTTCAGATTTTCTTCGACCACAATGCAGTTAGCAGAAGGAAATCAGAGTTCTCCAGCCACCTTCATCCTCTTGGGCTTCTCAGAATACACAGATCTCCAGGTGCCCCTGTTCCTGGTGTTCCTGACCATCTACACTGTCACTGTGCTGGGGAACCTGGGCATGATCATGATCATCAGGGTCAACCCCAAACTCCACACCCCCATGTACTTTTTCCTCAGCCACTTGTCATTTATAGATTTATGTTATTCCACCACGGTGACACCCAAATTGCTAGAAAACTTGGTTGTGGAAGACAGGACCATCTCCTTCATGGGATGCATCATGCAGTTTTTCTTGGCTTGTGTATTTGCAGTGGCAGAAACCTTCATGTTGGCCGTGATGGCCTATGACCGGTTTGTGGCAGTTTGTAACCCTCTGCTCTACACAGTGGTCATGTCCCCAAAGCTCCGTGCATCCTTAGTGGCGGGACCCTACACATGGGGAATAGTCTGTTCCCTCACACTCACCTATTTTCTCTTGACATTATCCTTCTGTGGCTCTAACATCATCAATAACTTCCTCTGTGAGCACTCTGTCATCGCCTCTGTCTCCTGCTCTGACCCCTCCATCAGCCAAGTACTATGTTTTGTCATTGCCATGTTTGATGAGGTGAGCAGCCTGGGAATCATCCTCACTACTTATATTATCATCTTTGTCACTATCCTGAGAATGCCTTCTGCTGGTGGGCGCCAGAAAGCTTTCTCCACCTGTGCCTCCCACTTGACTGCCATCACCATTTTCCATGGGACAGTCCTGTTCCTTTATTGTGTACCCAACTCTAAGAACTCATGGCTCATAGTCAAGGTGGGTTCTGTGTTTTATACAGTCATCATCCCCATGCTGAATCCTTTGATCTACAGTCTCAGGAACAAAGATGTGAAAGAGAGTGTCAGGAAGTTGATGAATCACCCAACACAATTATGTTGAGCACTTATATCCCCCAAAGGAATCAGATTTATTATATTCAGATATGTTTAATGTTTCTAGTAGAGAGGATGAGTCAAATTATTTAGTTCATTCACCAGAGTTTCAAGTGTATTGCAAAGAAAAAAAATTATTTGATTGTTTATTTTTTTCTTCACTTCAATGTTCAGAAAAAGTGTGAACCAGATGTGAAGTAATACAAATGTTACAAAGTGAGATGAGTATCATTTCTTAAACTGTTTGTGTCCTCCCTAAAGTTTAGAAGTAACTATTTGGAAATAAAATCTTTGCAGATGAAATTGAGTAAGGATGAAGATGAGATCCTAGGGCATCCCTGGACCTAAATCCAATGAGTGTGTCCTTAGATGAGACAGTCAATGAGGACACAGAGGTACAGAGCAGGGAAGACGTTATGAACACAGAAGCCACTCAGCAGTTTGTTGACAAGATCCAGGGGGCAAATAAGTATGCTCCCCGTGTCTTATCACCTTATATTGGTTTCAGATTCAGGTTTCAAGAATTATGAGAAAAGAAATTTCTCTTGTTTAAAGCCACTGGATAGCTGATATTTTTATGGTAAACCTAGGGAACATAAGTAACAAGAAAATATCAGACTATTAAACCTTAACCTCTCAATTTATATATTGTTATAACAAATCATTTTTTAAAAATATCTTTCAACTTAATTTTAGCAATGAAAATTTCAGAGTTACAGGGGAAATCTCAAAAGCCATAGCTGAGTAGTGGTGAATTTGGAAGAACAAGTCACAACAGACTGGGGTACCATCTGTAAGGGCCTAACAAGTTCTTTGTTCCTTTTTCCCCAAGATCCTTCTATATGTTTCTTATACTACAGAAAGAGATTTTAAACTTGACACCATATATCAAATGTAAATGTTGATGTGATGTATCTTCCTGAAAGAGTAGATAGGGGTAGAAAAACAAACAAACAAAGAAATCACAATGAATCTGAGCATTCTCAGAAAGTGACATGTCAAAGTCCATTGCCTATTCATTAACACGGTGGAGACTGGTATATTTCATTTCAGAAACAGTTTGTATAATTGTTTTGCTTTTTAAAATCAATAATTACTTGATTGCACTTTTATCCCTGCATACAACGATTTTTTCCCCATCATTCATGGTTGTGATTATATTGATTCAGTTACCCTCTAAATTGATTATTCAAGTGTTGGACTTGGAGTTAGAAAAAGGAATATGGATGTTACCTGTGTTTAGTGCTTCTTTATCATGGTTTGTTCATACAACCCCAGGACATGTACAGTGTGGGCACCTGATGTGGTTACCTTCCATCGCCTTACTGATTAAATAGTTAGTAATGGTTTTCCCAGAGTTACCACATGCATGTCAAATAAATCTTAACTTCATGTTACACTATAAAGGTATCCAGTGTCTTGTCTTATATATGTGAGAGCGTAAGCAATTATTGAACACAGAAGGAAACTGACTTTGTATTCAAATCTTTCTTAGTTGTCAACCAGAGATCACAAATACCTTTACCATAATTCTGACCAATTTCCAACGTACATGTTTTTCAGATAATATGACTCAAAGTTTGTTATGTACATATATATATATATTTTTTTTTTCTTCTGGTGGGGATAAGACTCAATTGGTGTAGAGTCATTAGAGATGCTTTAAAACGAACTTGTTATTTCTACCACCTACACTAATTTCAAGATTTTAATAATTACATAACATCATAACAAGTAAAATATTTAAAAATTCTAAATTAGTAATATCATGTTTTCTTGATCCTTGTGCAGTACTTCATATATATATTCTGCCTGTTAAATAATTTATTTGCATTATTTAAAACATTGCAGACAAAATCTTTCAAGAGTAAGCCATATGGAAGCTAGTAGGACAGGGGAGCTTTACACAGTTGTGTCTCAGAGCTGAGCTCCATCCACTAGCACTGTGTTACACCTGCACATGTGATCTCTTCTCTGATGCCCTGTTCTCATTGTAGGTCCCATACAGTTCATATTTTTAAGTATTTTTTATTTTTTTAATTTAGAGATCTTTTCCTTTTCAGTTTAATGGAGATTTTACAAAATCTGAGAAGCTTCTTTAATATCATAGTTACTATTTCAGACAATGTTTGATCCCTTTGGATAACCTGGTCTCAGAAACTCAAACATGTAGGCTTCTGGTATAAATAATTAATAATATATCTGCACTGAACACTGGTTCATATGTATGAGAGAACCCTGTTCGCAGCTGGCTTAAGTTTCAGAATACTGGTGGCTCATTCCCCATATTTCTGATACAATTGTTTTTGACATAGGCCAAAATGTCAAAACAAGGGATAATTTTAGTTTATGGGAAAGAGTGAAATAATAATTTGCTGCTCACATTCCTGAAGTATAGCATCTCACTTTTACTTTTTAGGTTTCAAGAAAAATTATACATGACTCAGGAGAAAAGTGATGTGAGGTCTTAGATATGCAGTAAAACTACCTGTGGAAATATGTCCCTAAGCAACAGATTATTGTTTTCTATATTAAAGTCTCCACACATTAATGAATTGAACAGGAATCCTAGTAAGAGTTGGCTTCTCTTAATATTATAAAGGAGAGTTTCTTCAAAATATTACAGTAAGGTGAATTCTGAAGACACAGAAAACAAAATAAATATTGCTACCCTAAAGTTAAGCTTTACACATTGGCAGTATCATAGCCAATGAGGTTTATCTGAGATGCGATTATTGCTAATTAAAGTTATAGCACCTGCCATCAACATGTTGAAAAGGGAAGCATGAAAATGAGAGAAAAATTGTGTAACACATTTCATTGACAAAAGATCAACATCTACAACATAGAAATACCTGTAAAAAGTTAAGGAGAGAAAGACAGTAAAAAGAATAGTGGTAAATATGAAGCGAATAATTTTGTCTGTGTGTATCATACAAATAATATTTTCAATATATACTGTGACATGAAAAATTTTGGCAAATCACCGCTCTGGACAAACTCAAGTACATTCTCCCCAAAAGAAATGTACAATAATTTTCAGTTACATGTTGACAGTAATGACAAAATTAAAGAAAGACAATGGCCTAATTGACATAAAAAGTGTTAAAATGTGTTACAGACATACAATCTCATTCTGTTAAGACAGAAAACAATTATTACTTGTTCCATTATACAAGATTGCATGGGACATAGAGTGGTTTAAAATGGCTTGTTTGGGGCTATATTTGTTTCTAACTCACACACATTCAGAACACACAGCACACCTCGGACAAAATATTTTTATGAATATATAACCACATCAATGGACATCTGGGGTATGAAAATGCTTTTTTGTTCATCAAAATTTTTGGAAATTATATCTGTGTTTTCCATACACACACATATATACCATTTATGTAGGATGAAGTTGAGAATTGAATTGGATTTACATAGTTTTTGCATTTTGATTTTCACATATTTCTCATATACATACTTATATATGCTTTATATATTTATATATATACATAAATATGTGCACACACGCACACACATCTATTTGGTTGCCAAGCATAACTGATGCATCTGGAATCAGCCACATGCTCAAATCACAGCATGTGGATGTGACTTTACAGGAAATACGAATATTGCAACTAATTTTGTAAACAGATTAATCCACTGAAATTGTAAGCTAGACTATATTGTAGTTGTTTTTGCTGAAGAAGAAAGATCTTGTGGTCTAGATTTGAGGGTAAAAATAATTTGTCATTTCCTACCATCCTGTGGGTTGACTCAGCACTTCCTCTGCTGATCTCACTTGGGTTCACTCATGTGCCTTGGGGCTGGCTGTTGGCTGTCGTGTAGATATTGTCCCAAGCAGTCTCTGATCCAATAGCAGGTTACACTGGCTTTCTTATGTGGTGATCTCAGAGCAATGTTTAATGAGAAAGAAGAAGCCATAAGGCATTTTGGAGCTTCAAATTAGAATGTTCACAACACCACTGCCACATTTTCTTGACCAAGCAAGTCACAATTCCAACATAATGAATCCTTCATTGTGTTCTCTAGTGAAAGCCCAACTCTCCTGATGGAGGAGACCTCTATCTTCCTACAGCTCACAGTTTCATATATGGGAAGTAAAGATTTAGCTAATGGCTCATTAAGAGTAATAGGTAGAATAGTCATTCCTGTTTAAACTTTGGACCCACAAATTCTGTCTCATAATTTATTAGAGACACAATAATGTATATTATTAGTTGCAGACTTAAGTATACTCATATGACACATTCAGGATGACTTTACTCCACCCATCTAAGGAATTGCTACAGAGCTTCTGCCATAACTAAGTTTCAACAGATGCTCCCTAGGTTGCAAGGACACTTTCTGAATCTCTAAATACAAGAAGAATTTTTGTTCATTGCTATCTTTCTGGGCCACCTCAGAGCAGAACTATAATGCTGCCCTGGCACTTACCCACCATTGCATCGTGCCAGCATTTCACAGTGTATTGTGAGAACCATCAGAAAATCAGGTTTATGTTTGTTCTTTATTCAAGGTGTCTTAATGAATGCCCTGTGAGGTGTGAGTTTAGGTTTCGAAGATGGAAGCGGTATAGCAAGGGCATAAACCATGATTGTACCATTGGCTCATACAATTAACGTGTGTCTCCTGGAATAAGAGTTCTGCCGACTGCCTTCCTACCTAATTGTATAGATTAGTAGGATAGGCAACACTCCATTTATGATGGAAATATAGATATCATGGTACTTTTCAATTATTCTGTCTCTACCAGAGTTCATTAAAAAGTCAGAAGCTGTTTCTCAAAAGGAGAAGACTTGTCCACAGAGGAAGTGATGGCTTTGCTTTAAAATCCTAAGGGCCTATCTGTAATTCATTGTAAGGAACTGTTCAAAGTTCTGAAAAACTCCTGTCTTTCATAAAGACTTCGAGGACAATCATAAGTGCGGAGTCACATGGCCCAAATAGCACAGTAGTTTGCTAGGTAGGCTGGCCTTATTATATCATTATTCTTGCTTGAGGACCTACTCTAAATTGATCACTTTTGGTGTCATCTCGTAAATACACTGGAGTATTGTCTACATCAGTATCTACTGCCTACAGAGTCCAAAAGGGTCCACTAAATTTTGGAGCAGATGAGGCAATATTTTAGTTTCTGTTTTAAATTTCAGAGGACATTTTAATTGGTGATAGCTAATTTCATCCTGCAATTTTACTATGTAATTTCAAGGAAATTCCAGTCATTAAACATGGTACAATAAACATGGCATTCGCTTAATTACCTGTTTTGATGCTTATGAGGAATGAGTTGCTAGTGATTCTCCGGAGTTTGAGTCCCCAGGGCTACAGAGTCAGATGTAAGTGCCTTGGTGTCCTGAGGCATACACAGCCTACTGAGAAACAGGAGGGTGGCAGCCTGTTTCTCTGTAGCAGGTAAGTTTATTCAAGGTCCAATGAAACTATAATAATAATATCTTCCTGACATTATAACTGGGGGTCTGTGATTTTTCTTTTTATGCTAAGTCCCTATAAATGTTAATTAATTCTGTGCCCAAGAATATTAAAGAAAAAAGTTAATGCTCATGGAAATATTTGGCTTCAGGTCTATTAATAACAATAATTTTCCAAAGATTAGAAAAAATTTCCTACCTGAAAATGGATGGTTACTCACATTCCATCTATATGTACTTTAAACTAGTGTATAAACTTTTACAAGAATGGAAAGTAGACGGTCTTCAGAAAACGCTTAGCTGATAAATGCTGTGACCCTTAGGAGTTATCTATGCGATGCCAGGGCTATGGCAGGTGGTAACCCTTATGCTATAAACCATAATAAAGTGTGCACTCCACTCAGAGATTAAACCTCCTAAACCCCTCAGAAAATGAGGATATTCAACAAAAGATGTAGCCTTTCTGGAATAAATATTGTAAAGTGAATTGCAATAAATTTTTCTAGATATCTTTATTATTTTATTTTGTTATTGGAATAGAAACATATTGTTTTAAATATTTTAATTGATTTGTGTCTATGAGAAAAATACATTAGCACTGCCTGTTGTTCTTGGAGGCAAATACCTGATATTTCTTCAGAGAATATTCACTAGTTTATGTACAGACATTTACCACCATTAGTAACTAGCTAATGTGTGGAACAACCATTAGTAACTAGCTAATGTGTGGATGGGCATACATTCAATTTAAATACTTTTATGGACACTTAAATTGTAATGAAAATGCAAAGATGTGCCAGAAACGCAGCTCAGTTTGGTATAAATCTTCTCTTTGTTAGGGCAATCTCATCAACCACACTCGTGTTAAAAGTTATTATGGAGATGGTTACAAGAAATCTGAGTGTGGAGACAACCTTTGACCTCTTGGGGTTCACAGATTACCCAGAGCTTCAGATCCCTCTCTTCCTCGTGTTTCTGATCATGTACATTATCACCGTGGTGGGAAACCTGGGGATGATAGTAATCATCAAGGTCAATCCGAAATTTCACACTCCCATGTACTTTTTTCTAAGTCACCTCTCTTTGGTTGATTTTTGCTACTCTTCCATCGTCACTCCCAAGCTGCTTGAGAACTTGGTCATGGCAGACAAGAGCATCTTCTACTTCAGCTGCATGTTGCAGTACTTCCTGTCCTGCACCGCCGTGGTCACAGAGTCCTTCCTGCTGGCAGCGATGGCCTATGACCGCTTCGTGGCCATCTGTAACCCTCTGCTTTATACAGTGGTCATGTCACAGAGGCTCTGTGCCCTGCTGGTGGCTGGGTCCTACCTCTGGGGTATGTTTGGCCCTTTGGTGCTCCTCTGCTATGCTCTCCATTTAAAGTTTTCAGGACATAATGTCATCAACCACTTTTTCTGTGAATATACCGCTCTCATCGCTGTCTCCAGCTCTGATATACGCATCCCACACCTGCTGCTTTTTGGCTTTGCCACCTTCAATGAGGTGAGTACACTACTGATCATCCTTACTTCCTACGTTTTTATTTTTGTGACCGTACTGAAAATCCGTTCTGCTAGCGGGCGCCGCAAAGCCTTCTCCACCTGTGCCTCCCACCTGACGGCCATCACCATCTTCCACGGGACCATCCTCTCCCTCTACTGTGTGCCCAACTCCAAGAACTCTCGGCAAACAGTCAAAGTGGCCTCTGTGTTTTACACAGTTGTCAACCCCATGCTGAACCCTCTGATCTACAGCCTGAGGAATAAAGATGTGAAGGATGCCTTCCGGAAATTAATAGACACAAAAGTCTCATTTTACTGAACCAATCACAAAAGACGTTTTCTATAGGAATGAACAACCCGAACAGAGCCTAAAATGTTTCTAAAAGTTATAGCTTATATTTGTATAAGATTTTGATAGATGAGTCTGATGCACAGACTGGTAAGTTCAAACCACTTGAAGAAGGCGATGTTTAATTCAGAGATAAATTCCACAGGATTCTGAACCATAAAACATCTATTCTTGAAATTTTCTTTAAAAAATACTGAAATGCATAATAGGTTATTCAATGTGGGGAAGAGAGAGAGAGCGAGAGGAGATATTATCACACCATAGAAAAGGGTTTTCTGATTTTTTGATGCATATGACAATGAATTTTTTACCTTCAGATTTATCTGTGTTCTGTGTCATTGAAGCATTGTGTCCTTGCTGGGAGATGTGCTTTGTGATAAAAGAGGAAACAGTACTTTTCCAACATCTTAGTTCTCTGGGTTCTGTGAAGTCTATGAATAGAAAGCTTTGTACTAAAAACAGTCAGCTCATATTGAAACTACAGAGGACAAGGACAGTTATACGTATGTGTAGATGATGCTACAGAGGTTCAAAGAGCTACTCTACAAATGGCTGAAATGACTGATGTAAAATGCGAACTGTAGTCTGTTGACTCCAAGTTTAGTTTCCTTTCTCTATGTTGCTTTTAAAGGGGAATAATATGAGGGACCACAGAAATTAATTTTGTCCTTCAGTAAGGACAATCACTAGAGTAGTTTCAATATTTCTAGGTGGTATGTGGATATTGTTAGTCACAAAAGAGTATGCCCAGGATTATTAGGTCTGGGAATTTTTACAAGTTCTTTTTCTTAGCCTGGATCATACAGAATGAATGCAAACAAACTTTTCATTAATAACGCTGGAGAAAAACATTCTAAAATTTCTGTTCTAGCATTTACATGAATGACTAAACAAACACCAAATATCTGGTAAAATATACAGTAAAAAGTAAAGCAAGATTTCTTAGAATGGCTAACTCTGAAAAACTAAAAATAAATGACCATGTATCATTATTAGAACAATGTCATATTAGGACAAGTAGTCATTTAAGAAAATTGTATGACTTCCTTATTTTCCACACCAAACAAAATTCTAAAGACAAGTTTTAAATTTATGGGAAAAGACAAAACTTCTTGGCAAAAACAACAGAAATCAAAAAGAGAAATGATGAACTGAGAAAAGTCGTTACTTTTATTGCCTACTTATAGTAATAGAGAAAATGATAATCCCATAGAAAAATAGACAGAGGATTTGATTAGTCTTTATAAAAAGAGGCGAATGTTCTACAAATAAGGATTATTTAACATGACTCATTAATAACAGAAACATAAATGAAAACTGCCTTGAGTTATTATTTTTCACTTATGAGAGAGGTATAAATCTACAAACTTAATTACATATTTTGTGAGTACAGCTATATACAAACAGGCCGTTTTATAAAGGGTGGCTATAAAGTTTGTGTAAATTGCACATGAACTTTATGGTCACCCTGTGTAGCAGTAGGAATGTAACAGGTTGCACTACCTAGAGTAGGCTATTTGAAGTGCTAGTAATGTTGTATTGGTGTTTACTCTCCTTCAAGACATCTGTAATTCTGGAAATCTATATTGCAGATAGAATAACAAAGGCGTAAATAATACATTCAAAACCATTATTTATAGTGGCAACAAAATTGATACAATTCAATATAAAGGTGATTGAATAGATTACATGTCTCAATAAAGAATTTTCAACTGCAGTAAGGAAAGAGAAAGATTTGTGTATATGCTATTATGTGTCCCCAGAACACAGTCAAAGTGAATAAAGACATGATTTTAAAAAGATACATCTATGACTTACAGTATGACACAAAGTGTGACAGAAGAGGGAAAAATTAAAACAAAAACTAATAAAAGTAGGAAGAGATGGAAGAAAATGTACTGAAGCAGATAATATTAAAAATATTTAGATGTTATTGAAAGCAAGTTTGTCAATATAGAAATAAAAAGTTATAGCTCTACAGTAATGAAAGGTAAATAAAACTTTTCATCTACTTGAATTTGAATTAGAAATTATGTTTATGATAAGTTTTTATTAAAATATATACCACTAAAGTTATAACATAGTAGCCATGAATATTCCTATCCCCATGTTTTCTCTAAAAAGAAACCATTTTTTTCTCTCCAACCAAAACAGGGGCTCCTTGGAGAAATGGCTCATTTGAAATCTAGGGTAGAAAACACATAAGATGAGCCTCGGGTAGTTTCAGGTTCCAGAAAGAAAGAATGCTATCAACATCTGCATCCAAAAGACACATAGAAAGCATTTTGAAATGACTGCCCCTGAATTACAGTTACAAAATTTTAACATGAAAATGAATATTACTGCAATTGATGTGAAGGTCTCCTATATGTTTAACTCTAGATACTAAAAAAGAAACATTAATAAATCGTCTGTTGCTATTTAAGCATAGTAGGGAACCAACTCATTACCCTGAATATTGGTAAGTGAAGGAAACCACATTCTATCTGCTTTTCTTTTACAAATTGTGTCTCAGGGTCACCTAACAGTTAATGAGAAGTTCAGAATAAATAAAACCATGAGCAAACATGGAATTAGAAAATCACAATTTTAGAATTCCTAATTGTAATAAGGAGGCTGATGGTTTCAATGGGAATTCACATCATTAGATAAAACATTGGTGAGTAATTTTAAAATGAAATAATCAAAGCTGACATTATCTGAATCTACAGATCAAAATGAACATCCCTAGAAGCTGGACGACCAGTTAGCATGTGCCGGCAAATGTGCACTGGTAATTGGCAGTGAGTAGAACCCTCACTGAAGAATTCCTGCCTATAAGAAACTAAAAGCAAACTAAAAGTTGAACTAATAAAGATTTGTAATCTGAAAATCAATCTAAAAGAATCAGTGCAGAAGTAAATTAAATGGCACCCCAATCAGTCTTAGAGAGAGCATACAGCATTATACACATGGCCCATTTTCCCCAAAAAACAATGTTCTCACTCAAATAATCATAATAAAGGAAACTTAGTTATAACCACAGTATTGTTTGATTCTTGATTCAAATTAACTGGAAAAAGATACGTTTGAAATAATTGGAGAGATTTAAACATAGTGTAATGAATGACAACAAGAATATACAATATTATTATTTCTGGTAGGTATAGTTTTGGCATGGGTATTCAATCAAATGTGTTTTTGGTTTTTTTTTTTTTTTTGGTTTTCTTTAGAATGGATATATTTTCTAAAAATAAACTATCAATGACTTAACTCTCTTAGCAAGTGGAATGACAGAAAACAATGATATCCTACAAATATGATAATGTTTTAAATGACCAAATTGTATAGGATAGAAAGTCAAGGACCATCTTTCTACTAAAGTCTGGACATTTTGGGAAGAAAAGCAGCCTATATAACCTTGTATTCCAGGCTAGACACAGGAATTCTTGGTTAAGAAATCCATTTGAGGCTCGGCGCCTATAGCTCAACTGGCTAAGGCGCCAGCCACGTACACCTAAGGTGGCGGGTTCGAATCCCCAGCCCGGACCCCCAAACAACAATGACAGCTGCAACCAAAAAATAGCCGGGCGTTGTGGCGGGCGCCTGTGGTCCCAGCTACTTGGGAGGCTGAGGCAGGAGACTCGCTTGAGCCCAGGAGTTGGAGGTTGCTGTGAGCTGTAATGCCATGGCACTCTGCCCAGGGGGACAGCTTGAGGCTCTGTCTCAAAAAAAAAAAAAAAAAAAAAAAAAGAAATCCATTTGAAACAGACCAAAAGTCAGTATTTCTAGCTCCTCCTATAGCTGTTTTGAGGCTTGTAGTAATTCTGATATGGTAAAATCGCCATAGTTGACCACTTTCCTACACTGACCACCTCCTTACATTGACCTAATTTTCATAGGCAGGCATGTACCATAAGTACATATTGGTACAATCAGCCTAATTCTTATGTTGACTAGTTTGGTACTATCTCTTGAATGGTCAATTTGAAGAAGTTCTACTGTATTTTCTTGCTATAATTCCCTTGAAAGTCTTCAAAAGACTTATTCCATTAATCTCAGCACATTGGGATCCACTAATATGGGAGGATCACTTGAGACCAAGACTTGGAGACCAGCCTGACCAACATACGGAGACACTGTCTCTACATAAAAAATAGAGAAATCAGGTAGGTGTCATGTCATGTGCCTGTAGTCCATGCTACTTGGGAGGCTGAGGCAGGATATTGCTTGATTTGGGGTGGCAGTGAGCTATGATGATGCCATTGAACTCTAGTGCAGGTAACAGAGCAAAACCCTGTCTCAAAAAAAAAAAAAAAATCTATTTAAAAGCATGTATCCAGATGTACTCAGACAGATTTCTTTCTCTCTTTAGTTTTCCACAATAACTAATGTCATTCTACACAGTACGTTATATTTTTGCATAGGGGTATAGAAAATGCAGAACATCACCACACACTGCAGAATTGTTGAGGTAAAAATGTAACCATCTGAAAATAAGTTGTATTTGTTCTTCCCTTTGTCTCAACCTCAATACTCTTACCCCAGTTATTTGCATAACCCACTCCCTCACTTCACAGTGCATCATGCTCACTCCTCAAGATGGCCTTGCCTGAACTCTCTACTTAAAATGACACTTGAAGTTATATATATAAAATTGTCAGTAAGTCCTTGGCAACTGTGTCTTAAAGAACATATAATTAAACCAGTTTCACCATAGGTTAACTGATATTTACAAAAGTCAAGTCAAGTATATTTCTTGTCACAAAAATATCATCAGACTTCTAAACAAAGACCAAAACACTTTGTTAAACATTGAAATGAATGTGGGCTATTCATATATTTAAGATAAGTTAATAAAAGTAAGTAATATAATTATTTACCCTTTTTATGTTGTGAACCAATGAGTGATGGCCATCATCATAGTTATGGGTTAAATCAATAAATAAATGTTTGCAAATTGGAAATTTGCAGGGGCACCTCCTACCATCACCACTCAGTTCAAATAATCACAAATCTGATGAACATGTAAAGTGCTTGCACACCATATGGTTTACTGTCCTGCACTCACATAATTATAATAGACTCAATGAATTTCTATTTTGTAATAAATTGTATTCATTCATTCATTCATTTTCCAACCCACCTATTCCCATTTAGAATCATGGACAGCTGAAGATGATCCCAACAGCTCAAGGCACAAGGCAGAAACCTTCCCCAGAATAGGAGACCTTCCATCAGAGGGTGTCCTCCTGCCCCACACACTCTCATCTCATCTCATGTACTTAACATGTATATCTTGAGACACTGAGAGAAATGGGAGTATGCAGAGAATAATCCATGTACACTTGGGAGAGCATGACAACTTCATACACAGTAGTAGCCCATGGCAGAAATCAATGTTTTTTTCTCATCAATATTCTACAAAATAACATTAAAGGAAACGACCTCATTCCTGGACCTGTTCATTTCTACTGTACTGAGTCAGACTACAGATTGAAAATCCCATATAACAGGCATTTGTTTGTTTGGTTTTGAATGAATGCCTATCTTTAAAATTGTATTTTAATTGACAAATGACAATTGTAAATAATCACTTTTTGTATAAACATCCAGATTTTTCTTATCACTGCTTGAGACAATGAAAAATTACTGCTTTCCTGGAACTTTTATTCTATCAGGGGCAAAGAAATAATATGCAATACACACACACAAAATAAAGATTTAAAAATATGTTCAAGCCATGATGAGTACTTTAAACAGTAAACTTGAGTAGTAGGGTAACCATAAATGTGTGCGGATGGAAAGTTTCCCTGAAAAACAAAATTGAGGAAAATCTTAAGAAAAAGAGTTCCAGACAGAGGAAACACTACCAGGAGAGGCTCTAAGATATGAGTGCACTTTTTAAACAAAACTTTTAAAGAAACAGAAAGAGATTAGGGTAGAGGAGATAGCACAGAAAAAGAATGATAAATAGCACCTAGATTAGACAGAAAGTAGATTATTTATCCAATTGAATGTTTACTTTGTAGATATTTCTGCTTTAACTCTGCATGAATTTTGATTTTGTGAATACCGGATCTTCACATTTCTTCAATTTGTCCAGAGTGTGTGTTATGGAAGAAGAGGGTTATGCCTGGCAAATAATCACCACACAATCAATATTTGTTAATGATAATTCTTATAAGTATATAAATTTTATAACTCTAGGGGGTTATAGGATTGATCACATAACTAGGAAAGGTAACTTGAAAATATTATTTTTAATATAAATCATTTTATATGAGAAGCCCCTAAGGCTGCTATGGTTCCCCCACCCTGCCAGTTTTCTAGTATGTAAGAATTACATCAGATAAATGTAATTAATTTTAACTGTTTATCACATTACCTCAAGAGAATGGAGCAATAGATGTCTCTAAGGTCCATGTCCCCAAGGTTGTAACTACAGATAAAAGAAAGCAGGTATCACTCCCAACCTGGAGAGGTCCTACCTTTGCCATCAGCAGGTTGGTTTTAAGATTGCAAAGACAGATTGCTATTAGTTTTGGTCTAGACAACAACTTGGGGGGAAGGAAATTTACTATTTAGGACAAAACAGCTCTCGAAAAACCTACGTGAATGAACAAGGATCAAGAATTGTCGTCTTTCTGTAAAGCTTAGTACTGGAGGGTCTGGCTCAGCTAAACTCCTCACCATAGACTCACGGAGAAGTGGTACCCGGAGTGGGGAATAGAAGAGTTCTGAGAACTTGGAGAATTTATATTGCTTTGCTTTTGCTAATATTTGAAGGAATGGCCAAATATTCAAGTAAAGTGAAATAAACAGATGGAACAGATTCTGTTTCACTCTGTAAAGTGAAAAAGGGGGGGGGCAGTTTTAATTAAGGTTATAAAACAGGAAACACATACGACCTCTAAGAGCAAAATTAACTACTAAATTGGGTAAAAAACAGACTTTAGGACAGGAGGTTTCAGCTATCACACTTTGTGGACTCACAGACATAGAAATTTTTTACTAGTAATTTAATAGCAGCATTTGGGGCACAAGATCTATTATATTATATGTAACGTTAGCTATTTTTTTAAAGCTTTGATGAATTAATTATGGTATTAAAATTGATAATTAGAATGTCTTGCTTTGTAATGGATTGTGATTTGAGGTGTGTTTAATTAATACTCATGTTCTTGAGTGTAGGATGGACAGACGTGTGTCTTATCTTGCAACTTTATTGGTGGGCCTTATGGGAACTGTTTCTTTCATCATGTGAAGAGAGATAACTGTAGAAACGACAGGAATCTCTTTTGGTAGGAATAGAGGTACTGAGCACTCGTATACAGTGATTATTTCTTATTACTCTTTTCTCATGAAATGTATGCCCAGTGCAGTACTACCTCAAGTTTTTAATCCTTCTCAATCACAGATATTATAAGGGCAGAATGAATGTCCTAGGTACTTTGAAGAGAGATGGGGGTGGGGAGACAGAAAGAGAGAGAACTGGGCAAGGGAAGTTTCTATGTCAGGATCCTTACAAAATCTAGTTATTGTTGGCTGAGAACATTTCTCTAAATCCTGTTTAATCTTATGTCTAATTTTGATGCTGCTTTCTCTGTGTCTGGCATTTCACTGTCATTGAACCATTTTTCTGAGATTTAGAGTTTCTAGTTTGGTCACTAATTGAAAACATAATTATTAATAAAGGAAATACATTAGTATCTAGATTGAGAAGATGGAGAAGATATATATAATCGGTTCTAATCTTATTATTTCTCAAGCAAGGATGAAAGATTAAAACTCTCTGAGTTGAGAAGAATGCTTTCTGATAAAAATAAACAAGATGTGTTTAGATAACTGACTTACTGGGTCAGATAGACAAAAACAAAGTGCTATATGGAATTCACAATGAAGGTGAGAATGCCAAGTATTGATACTGAATGTGTGAACACACGGTGGAAAAATTAATTGGTTTTGAAATTTTCATTTCTATTATTTTCCTGGCCTGACATAATCAGTCACTATGTTATGTGAGGCTTATCTTTATGAACTTACAATGTTCAGGGAGAGCTCAGCATGCTCTGTGAAGATTTGATTTAAAATAACCATAGATTCTTCACTCTCATTTTATTCTATTAATATTCTAAATATTAACTGAGAAATTAATATTTAGATGAATCATTGTTTTTATCAAGAAAATTTTTTTAAACATCAATTATGATGCTTTAAAATTTTCAATCTTGTGAATATCTTGGATAATTATGCCAGAATATCTTGGATACTGAAGAGATAATTTGCTTCATCCTCTAGGTTGAGTAAGAGTAGTCAATTAAGATTTCTATTTCCTCACTTTCCTAATATTTTTTTTTATTTGTTTCCAGTACTAATTTACAGATTTCTATACATGCATGCCATGCTACTATCAGGTAGAAATAAAAGTGCAACTACGTTTACACTCTTGGGATTCTCAGATTACCCAGAGCTGCAAATCCCACTCTTCTTGATTTTTTTGGCCATCTACAGTGTCACTGTGGTCGGGAATCTTGGGATGATTGTGATCATAAAAGTTAACCCCAAACTGCACACCCCCATGTACTTTTTCCTCAGCCACCTCTCCTTTGTGGATTTCTGCTACTCCTCCATCATTGCTCCCAAGACCCTGGTGAACCTGATTGTAGAAGACAGAACCATTTCTTTTTTAGGATGCATGGTCCAATTCTTTCTCTTTTGTACCTTCGTTGTAACGGAGTCCTTTCTACTAGCTGTGATGGCCTATGATCGCTTTGTGGCCATTTGCAATCCTCTGCTCTACATGGTGGCCATGTCCCAGAAACTCTGCGCCTTGCTAGTGCTTGGATCATACACCTGGGGAGTAGCATGTTCTTTGATACTGACATGCTCTGCTTTAAAGTTGTCTTTTCAGGGTTTCAACATAATCAATCACTTCTTCTGTGAGTTCTCCTCCCTGATGTCCCTCTCTTGCTCTGATACTTACATCAACCAGCTGTTGCTTTTCATTTTTGCCACTTTTAATGAAGTCAGCACACTGCTCATCATTCTCATGTCATATGCGTTCATCGTTGTCACCATCCTCAAGATGAGTTCAGCCAGTGGGCGCCGCAAAGCCTTCTCCACCTGTGCCTCCCACCTGACTGCCATCACCATCTTCCACGGCACCATCCTGTTCCTCTACTGTGTGCCCAACTCCAAAAACTCCAGGCACACAGTCAAAGTGGCCTCCGTGTTTTACACAGTGGTGATCCCCATGTTGAACCCCCTGATCTATAGCCTGAGAAATAAGGATGTCAAGGATACAGTCAGCAAGATAATGGACACTAAAGTCTTTTCTTATTGAACACGTTGTTTTAGAATATTCCCTTGACATGTAAATATAATGAGTCAATACAGATTAACTTTAAAGATATCTTTAAAATAAATACAATTTATGCTTTACAATGGAATGATGGAAATGATGTTAATTCCATTTACAATGGAATGTTTTACAATGTGATTTCAATGGAGTAAACTTGGCTCTATCTTCTATTTTCTGGAAAAGATCAATAATCTCTAATCTTTAGTATTTTATCCATAAAATTGGCATTTCATACCTTTTGAAATTAAGATATAATATACATATGATGTGGGGCACCTTGTACGTAACTTAGAAAACATTAATTAATATTGCTCTTTAATATAAAATACCTAAAGTAGACTAGGCTTTTAATAAATATATGAATTTCTCCTACAAAAGGACAAAAGTAGTTAAATATAAGACAATCTTTGCCTCAGGAATATAAACATCGATGTCGACAATAAAGCATTGAAGAAATGACCATTGTATAATGCTGAAAATAATAGCTAATATCACATGCTTGAAAGAAGGAAAAGTTCAAATCTACTTAATACATAAGCACAATGTCAAGGTGTTTTTTGAGCTAAGCCTACATTGAGAGAATGAGCAGAGTTTTAAGATACGCATTTCAGTAAGAAGGGAGTTTTATTCAGGAGAAAACATCATGAATAAAATCAAATAGATAAGAATATAATACTGGGTACAAAGATCAGAGATATATTATTGAGCTAACTGGGTGTAATATGTTTGTCTGGTTGTATTCTGTATACAAGTTAATTGACTTGAGATAAATTCAGTTAAGATACAGTGTTTAAGAATGTGTATTTGAAAGGGCTCCAGTGTGAAAGTGTGACAAAATAGAATTCACCAAAGGTCTAAAATTATAGGTCAGATCTTAGATAATCTTATGCCAAATTTGGGAGGATGAGTGCCTGCCCAACTGGGGGTTCATGTTACTGTTCTACCTACATAAATGGCACAAACATTATTAATTCTTTATGTACTTGTTTTATTTTTCAAGCGTGGAAAATTTTCTCTTCAAAATTCTTACCTGCCTTTAGAAAAAGTATTTAGAGTGGTATTACGTATTGAAAGATAACTGTCTACATTAATTTATTCAAAATAAAATAAAAAGTTAGAAAATCATTAGTATCGATGTCTATTCAACATGGAAGATTAAAAATGAAAGCTCTCTCTTGCAACTACCTTTGCTTTAATAACTTGTACGTCATTGTCCTCTCTACACACTATGTCCAGCTATCAGATATATCATTAATATAGTGGAATAAATACAATTGTTTTGTTAAAGGAGAAAAAACATGGGAAAATATTTTATATAGCCTTAATAAAGATATTTGGAATATTTATATTATATTGAATTTAGAATTATTATTAAAACGTTGATTTCATATATATTAATAAGGGATCAATTAAAAATTACTCTATATGGAAAAATAAAAAATCTTAAGAAACTGCATTTTAGTTATTGGATATCTGATGAGGAACACTTTTTCTCTTGACTTCTGTTTCTCTAAGTACTCAAAAATGTTTCTCTCATAACAACTGGTGCTTAAAATTTTTCTAATTTTTTTTAAAAAGGACATCGTATAATTACCAACTTGAATTTTAAATTCCACACTCCTTCGAAATCCTGAAAAGCTACCATCTGAATAAGCACAAAACATGCATCTCATAAGGAGAACAAAGATTCCACATCCCCACCTCACGAACTATCCAACTGTAGCATGACCATCTTAAGTGATCTCACTGGTCAACTGATATTAGACATAGAATCCAGTTAAACCAAGATTAGCCATTCCGGAATCAGATTAGCAGAACTACCAGAATGTTCCATGCTGTCATGTCATAAGTAATAAGCAGTTTGGGATTTTAACAAGTGGATTTGGAGTGTTTTATCTATGCAGTCTTTAGATTCACTCACTTTATCAAATTCTGGGAAGGTTACCACAAAGACTTCCCCAAATCTAATCCTATAATAATTAAGGATATCCACATAGAGGCTACTTAACACAAGAAAATATACTTTAAATTTAAAATTGTTAATATAATTAAAGCTTTTTAATATAATATTTTAAATGGTATTATCTTATATGCTGTAAAATATTTTACCAAAATTTTAGTACAGCTCATTTACATTATTCAATTTATGGATAGCTATTATGAAAATGATTCCAATCACATTTTTAAATTTAAACCAATTTTTTAAAAATTCCAGATTAATATGAGGATACAAGTGATTGGGTTACAATGTTTTCAGAATCATTTCCCACATCTGTGAATGGGCTGCCTAGAGGACATAAGACATTACTGCAAATATTGCTCTTTTTATAAATTTCAGAATGTGAAAGGTACACGTGATATATACTTTGTTTTTGTGCAGACTGAGTCAAAATTATACATGTAAGTGTGCCCTTCACCCAGATAGCAAGCACTGTAGTTGGGAAGTTACCCATCCCCTCCTGCCTCTCTCCCAGCTTGATTTTCATTGAGATTTACTTTTATATGTGCACCTAAGTGTTGATCAATCAGCTCTGATTTGGTATTGAGTACATGTTATTGTTTCTCTTGTGATGTTTCACTTAGAAAAAATGGCTTCCACTTTCCTTCAGATTTCTCCAAAGAATTACTAGATCACCATTTTTTATGGCTAAGTAGTACATCATAGAAAGCATATGCCACATTTCATTAACCCATTCATGTGCTAGTGGGCTATTTCCATGTCTATGTGATTGTTAGTTGCTGTGCTATAAACATTTGAGTGCAGGTGTCCATTTCCTAAAATGACCTTTTTTTCCTTTGGGCATATACCCAGAGGTGAGATTACTAGATCAAATGGTAGGTTTCCTTTAAGTTCTTTGATGTATCTTGATATAAGTTTCCAAGAGTTTGACTAATTTGCAGTACCACCAAAAACATATTACTCTCCACATCCATGCCAGCATCTCTTAATTTAAGACTTTTTAATATAAGTGATATTTATTGGAATTGGATGGTAACTATTGTTCATAGAAGGTATTTCACCTTTTCTTTCATAAGACTCTTCTCCTTGTAGAGGTATGCATTTTTCAACAATAATTTGATGATGTAGTATGAAAAAAATGAATAAGTATTAAACATTTTCATTAATAATATATATATCTGAGTATAGGTAGTATACTATGCATGTATATATCACATATATACTCATGCTATATAGGAATAGGTAAAGGATATATTGGCTAGAATACATGGCCAACTCCATGCTTTTCCATAAAAATAAATTTATATACATCTACAGAAAGCAAGTAGTCATATCATGAGTTTGAAATATCTTTTTTTTTTTTTTTTGGAGTTCTTTTTTTGTCCAGGGCTGGGTTTGAACTCACCACCTCTAGCATATGGAACCAGCGCCCTACTCCTTTGAGCCACACATGCCACTTGAGTTTGAAGTATCTTGATTAAAGAAAAATTCAAAGTTCACAGATAACAAAAATTAGAGTTGTCCTTATTTGTTAAATTTTGGACATTTGCTCTTGTTTTCCTCATCAGAGTAATTAATGAAGTTAGATGCAAATGTTTGTGAAGAGTTAGAGAAAAGAGGATGTGAGAATTAAAGGAGAAGAAGAAAGTCTCCTTATGTTTAGGGAATTGTCAGAAAGATCAATTCTAGGAAAACACACATAGAGAGTTGAGAAATTAGGAATGGATTACGTATAACTCATTACATCCATAGAATTCTTGAAGTGATGGGTTTCTGGAGAGGGACATAGATGGTGCTTTGAATACTAATAGTTCAGGTTGACACTGCTGTATATAGTCAGTAAAGAGCAGACCCGGGGGGAGATTCTTAAGACATTTCCACTTAATGACCTCTGGTGTTTAATAGGGAGTGTGCCACCCCAGAACCTCTCTGGAGCCATGTCCTTCCTCACAGTCATATGGGTGGAACAAACCAATCAGCAACATAAGGTCTCTGTCCGCCTGGGAGTCTGTGTATGACTTTGGGCAAGTTAGATCTGCTGAGCCTCAGTCCCCTCATTTGTGAAAGGGGATAGAAGTCCTGACCTTCTTATTTGTATACACATGAAATATGCTAATAGTTGTACTTAGACTAGTATCTTTCACAGAGGAAAAACTCAGTAAATGTGAGCAATTATTATCATTCCCAGTAAAAGAGGGCCATTGTCCTCAATCCTATTTGGTATGTGAGAAACCTCCCGTGTGGCTTCAGACCCTACATCCTTTAGGAAGGAATTTTTAAGTAAAAGGCAAAGTTTATAAAGCCTGTTTGTATCTTTCATAATGGCTACATGAGTATTGGCTCACAGAGGCAAAGCTTGGATGCTGTACACAGTGTTCTGTAATCCATGACGGACTCTGAATGTAACTGTGTTAGATGATAATAACATATGCCAGTTGGGAGACCCCCTTCCCCATACATATTCCATAGTGGTCAGTAATTCTTGAAGTCTCAAGACAGAGTTGTTGTTTTGATATCTGATTGATATTCCACAGAGATCAACGATTGTTTGGGGAGCTTATGGAACATGGCCCCAGAGAGTCACACACACAAATATAAAGCCCGTAACATTTTCCATGACAGTATATTCAGAAATAGGAGAAGAAGCAGCTGTCCAATAGTTTGGTTGGTGGCCCTTCACTTTGTATTTTGAGGAATGAAAATGGAAAATATTTTCTGGGAGAAAGAAGCTTCATGTATTTTTCTTACCAGGTAATTTTTTATAGTTCAATGTAGAAGAAGGAGAAATTATGAAGGAGGACAGTAGTATTAGACCATTAAAATGTCTGTGTCTTATTATACTCTTTATTAGAAATTATTTTAAGGACTGTCATGTTTAATAAAATCAATAAGCAAATTTTGTGGAGAAAATGTTAATGAAAATGTTCATGTAAATGTCCTAAAATACAACAAAAAATGTAAACACATGTTTTAACAATCTTAAGTAAGGATATCTCTAATTAATTTTGTGGATAACTTAGGGAAAGAA